AAACCAAACCAAACCAAACCAAACCAAACCAAACCAAACCAAACCAAAGCTGGCACTGCTTTGTACCAACAGTTCAGTCCAGGCAGTAGAGTGCCAAGGGAACCAGGCGCCTGCTCCTGCTTCCCAGACTGCTCTGTGGGGTGACGGGGGGAGGGAGGGGGGAGTGTAACTTGCTCAGTCTTGTGTTCCAGGTGCCAGCGGGTGCGGGTGCAGGGCTTCCCTTTGAAAAGACATCTGTGCCATTTCCCTGGGCTGGCCTGTGCCTTGGCTGAGCCTGGGGCTTCTCATTTGCAAAGGCCTTTGTCTTGACTTTCACACCAGCACAGAGTCCCCCTCCTGAAAACGCTCCTTGAGTTCAGGATGAGGAAGGTAAAGGTTTCTCCCCGTCCCTCTTTCCCAGGAGAAGGAAATGATGCCCCTGGACTTGCGCCACCTCTTGGAGCTGAAACTTTCTGCTTTTCTTCTGCCTTGCTAAAGGATGATCCCAAATCTAGACGACTCTGTGTTGGCTGTGGAAGGAGAAGCTGAAAGCAGCCTCCACTGAACGTTTAGGGCCGCAAAGGCCAGGCTGATCATTGGTAACTCCAGATACGTAGCAGGAGAAAGACAAAAATAAAGAAAAAGGCAGTGAGTGCAGGCCTCCGGCTGTGGTCCTGGCCACTCAGGGACTAAGGTGGGGGGACCACTTGAGGTAGGAGTTAGAAGGCAGAGTGAGAGACTTTGACATTATTATTAAGTTTTTGCTTATTTGTTTGTTTGTTTGTGGAGGGCAGGGGTGCCTCCTGGCACGACCCGTGTGTGGCGCTCAGTGACAACCTGTCAGAGTTCATTCTCTTTCTCTGTGTGGGTTCTTAATGATTAGACTCAAGCTTGGCGGCAAGTGTTCTCACCCACGGAGCCATCTTTCCGTCCCAGAGACCCTGAAATGTGAGAAATGTGAGAGAAGTGCAGACTCTAACGAGAACGGTAAGGAACTTCCATGTTGGGGAGCGATAGTGCGCCAAGGAGATGTGTCAGTTAGTGTCTCTGTCAGGGTTTCTCTCGATGCCATGTAAAACGTGGCCCAAAGCAGCTCGGGGGAGAGTGGGTTTATTTCACTTCCACATCACTGGCCTTCGGAGGAGGAAGTTGGACCAGGAAGCTACAGGCAGGAACCAAAGCAGAAGCCAGATCACTACTGCCTATTGACTTGCTCCTTGTGGCTTACTCAGCCTGGAGTTTTTTATTTATTTTATTTTTTTTTAATTGTTTTCCGAGACAGGCTCTGTAACTTTGGAGCCTGTCTTGGAACTTGCTCTTGTAGACCAGGCTGACCTCGAACTCAAGAGATTCGCCTGCCTCTCCTCCCGAGTGCTGGGATTAAAGGTGTGTGCCACCACCGCTCGGCTCAGTCGAGGAATTTTATACCATCTCATCAGCCCCTTTTCTTTCATTTTTGAGATTGGTTTCATTTTTCCAGGCTGTGGAGGAGAATGACTGTGACATTCAATCTCTCAGCCACCACCTCCTGAGTTCTGGCCTTCTAGGCCAGTGCCACCAAGTCTGATTTATTGTTTTTTGTTTTTTTAAAATTTTTTTATATCCCCAGGAAAATGGAATGAATGGTAGAGCCTTGTGCACCAAATACTTGTTCCAGCCGGTGTGGTACACTGGAACAAGCTGATGAACCTGCGTTTGCATCCGTAGCCCGCATGAGAGGATGTGACTGGCGGTGACAAGGAGGCCGCCAACTTCAGTTCTCATTCAAGATGCAGGAACTCATTGGAACCGGATGGACTGGGAAGAATAGTGCAGCCAGTGTGTCCTGTCTGACTGCCCCTTTCTTGTCTCTTTTACTTCATGAAGTCTTTAAGAGCCTTGAAATGCAGGAAGGCATCCGGAGCCAGACAATGAGGTTCAAGACAAAGCCAGCTTCAGTGCCGCTGGCCCTCACCAAGGAAGGAACGTGGGCGGAATCCACCAACAATCAATCAGGCCAGCATCCACTCTGCCCCAGGTCGGAGCAAAGTTGGGGGTGAGTAACAAGCAACCCCAGTCGCTCTCTTTGTTCCAGTTCAGTGAACCCATACCTCAGCCCAGACCGGTACCCAGTCTCTGCCTCCTGGCACACGGAGGGCCAGGAAGAAAAAGTAGGTGGGGCATAGACTTTCCAATTTAGCCCCACTGAAATTAAATAGGCCTGGGCTAGGTGCTTGGCCTATGTGGTCTGAGTTCTTCACAAGGTGACCATAGTTTTTGTTTCCCAGGGGGATAATGTATTTTCTTCTCCTTTGACAACTAGGCATGTTAAAAATTAACAAGTGGAATTTGAACTTGGAGGGGAAAAAATGACTCAAGAATAAGGTCCCAGAAGTCTCCTTGTGATCTTTGTCTACTGATTGACTTAGAAGGGGGAAGAAGCCAGAAAAGCCAGGGCTAAGCAGGGACTCTTCCTTTCTGCTAGGTATCTCCATCTTCATAGCTATTGTAAGCTCTTAGAGGTGTCAGGAAATGTATAAGAAGTTGGTGTGGTTGTGTACTGGGTCCTGTGAGCCCGGCACTCAGGAGGCTGAGGCAGGAGGATGGAGGGTTCAAGAGGCAGTCTGGAATGCATACAGAGTTTTGCAGGTCAGTCTGAGCTTAGCAAGACCATGGAGAGAGGGGTAGAAAGAAAGGGAGACAGGCAGAGATGGACAGAGAAGAACACTTTTGAGAAGTGAACGGAAATTACTAGACACTTCTCTTGGAGAAACTTGGTACCTAGGGAACCATTAAGAAGGTGCCTGTACCGTGCCTGTCTCAGAGTTCCTATTGCTGGGATAACCAAACCAGCTTGGGAGGGAAGGGTTTATTTTTATTTCATCGGACAACTCATATAGTTCATCTTCCTGGGAATTCAGGGCAGGAACTCCGGGCGGAGCTGATGTAGAGGCCATGGAGGGTAGCTGCTTACTAGCTCCCTCCTCATGGCTTGCTCAGCCTGCTTTCTTATAAAACCCGGACCAGCAGCCTAGGAGTGGCACCACACACAGGGTTGGGCCCTCACATCAATAATCAACCAAGAAAATGTACCACAAGCTTGCCCATAGCAACCCAGCGAGAGGGTTTTCTCAGCTGGAGTTGCCTCTCCTATAATGACTCTCAAATTGACTTAAAAAAAAAACCCAGCCATCACAGTGCCTTACTAGCAGGTGCTAGTCTGGGTTGAACTTGACAGCATAAAACAGCTCTGGGGAAGACCCTTCACCCCTTCACTTTCACTTAGGAAAAGGAAGCATCTTACAGGATGATGGGATAACCAAGCTACACCCTTTTTGGCTTAGTTTAAGGTGTCTGGTCAACTGGCTTGTTTATACGTGACTGTGTGAAAGGTTTGCCTGAAAGGATGATTTATTTGTAGGCTACTGAACTTTCTCAAGGGCTAGAACTAAGTTTGTTAGGCCCTTACAGGCAGCGAAACAGCCTTTTATAAAATAAATCTTATCTATCTTTCTATCTATCTATCTATCTATCTATCTATCTATCTATCTATCATCTGTCTGTCTGTCTGTCTGTCTATCTATCTATCTATCTATCTATCTATCTATCTATCTATCATCTATCTAGCTAGCTTTGAGATAGGGTCTCACTGTGTAGCTCTGGCTGTCCTAGAACTCCCTGCTAGGAGTTCAGAAGCCTCAGCCTCCTGAGTGCCGGGCTCACAGGACCCAGTACACAACCACACCAACTTCTTATACATTTCCTGACACCTCTAAGAGCTTACAATAGCTATGAAGATGGAGATGCCTGGCAGAAAGGAAGAGTCCCTGCTTAGCCCTGGCTTTTCTGGCTTCTTCCCCCTTCTAAGTCAATCAGTAGACAAAGATCACAAGGAGACTTCTGGGACCTTATTCCTGAGTCATTTTTTCCCCTCCAAGTTCAAATTCCACTTGTTAATTTTTAATATGCCTGATTGTCAAAGGAGAAGAAAGTACAGCTCTGGCTGTCCTCGAACTCCCTACTTAGACTAGTCTGGCCTGGAACTCACAGAACTCCACCTACCGCTGCTTCCCAGATGCTGGGACTAAAAGCGCGTACCATCCCTCCTGCCTGTGAAACAGCTTTTTAAGGAGACTTGTGTCACACTGCACAAATGGACCGGCTTGGCTGGAAGGCACTGGGGCTCAGCATCCCTGTCATCCAGCCACAGTCACCTTCCGTTTCTCCCGCTGATATTTTCAATATCAATGAAAAGCATTCTCAGCATTCTCTTATGACTGATTAAATTTCCAGTAACTTTTTCGGCCATGAAAAGATTACTATGCTAACATTCAAAACTGTACCTTCTGGGCCACTCCAGTCCTTGTTCATTCCCTGGCTTATTTTTGATCCCTTGACACTTGACAATCTAACCCATCAGTTAATATCACGAAGCTGGGCCTTTGACTTTTCCTACAGTACCTTATCTGGTATACAGCAGGTGCCTAATAAGCACTTGAATGAACGAACAGTGGCAGGCACTGTAACTCAAGCCCACTCGTGCCTTCAGCATTATTCCAGGCTGCTGACTATAGAATGATTGACTTTCTGATGGGCAAAGGGTGAGGGGCTAGAACTGGCATCGTCATTGAGGGATGCTCTGTGCTTGCAGAGAGCCCAAGAAAGGTCCGGTGCCTGATTTAATGTTCTGCTGTCATTTCAGAATTCTTCATACATTTTTCTTCATCTGAACTTCCAGTGCTCCCTCCTCTACCGCCTGAGTTCTGGGATTACAGGCACGAGCCACCACATCCAGTCTATGTGGGACTGGAAACCATACTCAGGGCCTTTTGCATGTTGGCAAATCTTCTACCCAGTGAACTTATGTGATACCACAGGAACAGGCTGTTCAGTGAGCCTACATCATGGGCTGTGTCTACCAAAGAAACAGGGTTCTAACAGCCAGAGCTGGGCTCTGTGTTCACGTCAGAACTTATTACTGTTCTAGAAAGAAGGCTGGAGGGAGGAATGACCAAGAAACATGTCCTGGCCTTTCAAAGGATGTTTAAAGATTGGAGGGATGGCTCAGAGGTTAAGAGCAGTGGCTGCTCTTTTAGAGGAGGACCCTGGTTCAATTCCCAGCACACACATGGCAGCTCATAACTGTTTGTAACTCCAGTTCCAGGAGATCCAACACCCTCTCACAGACATACATGCAGGCAAAACATCAATGCACATAAAAAATAATAGAAAGGGGACCTTGAAAAATTAAGAAACAATTTTTTAATTTTATTTTAGGATTTTATGTGTATGGATGTTGTTCTGCTTACATGTATGTCTGTAGTGGATGCATACCTGGTCCCTCAGAGGCCAGAAGAGGCATGAGATCCCCTGGACTGGAGTTACAGATGATTGTGAGTCACTGTGTGGATGCTGGGAATCAAAACGGAGCCCTCTGTAAGAGCAACCAGTGCTCTTAACCACTGACCCATCTCTCCAGCCCCTTAAAAATTAAAAAAAAAAAACCTGCCTGTTCTTTCTTGTTGCTGTTTTCCCTCTATCGTGCAAGCATTTGCATTGAGAATGAAGCTGTTGATGAGCAGCTACCCCAGTTGTGTCAATATGCAGCTAGGGCCAAATGTGCTTTCTTTAGTTCTTAGTCTGCTCATTGTAGAGCCAGAGGGGACCCTGGTCAGGAGCTTTTCTTACTTGAAAAACAAAAGTTGCTTTCAGAGACAGTCTTGCTGTGTAGTCCTGGCCTATAAATCCTAATATACAGCCCAGATTGGCCTCCAATTCTAGTAGATCCCCTTGTCTCAGCCTCCTGAGTATTGGAATTACAGATAAGAGCCACCACACTTGATTCTGCTTAGGTTATATCTTCAACAACGCCTTGGTGCCCTTCTCTTTAGCCCCATGATGCTAAGAGAGTTTTCTATCCCTCCCGGTCCCTCAGCTGTTCAGTCCCAAAGAAACACACAGAGGTCTACATTAATCACAAACTGATTGGCCCATTAGTTCAGGCTTCTTATTAACTCTTATTACTTATATTAGCCCATAATTCTTGTCTGTGGTTAGCCACGTGGCTTGGTACCTTTTATCAGTGAGGCATCCTCATCTTGCTTCCTCTGCATCTGGATGACACCTGCTGACTCAGCCTTTCCTCTTCCCAGAATCCTCCTGCTCTTGTTGCCCCGCCTATACTTCCTGCCTGGCCACTGGCCAATCAGCATTTTATTAGACCAATACAAGACTGTTGTCCCACAGCACCATATAGTTTCAGGCTGGTTCTTGCTGCTTGGCCGACTCAGCACTAAGGGAGAATCTGATGAGAATTCTTGATTGTTGATGCACAGAAATCACCCCCGAAGCTAGGTGTGCTAACACACACTTGGAATCCCAGCATTTGGGTCTCTGGGAGTTCAAGGACAGCTTGGTCTACTTAGAATGTTCTAGACTAGATAGGGTGACACAGTGAGACTCCATCTTAAACCCTATGCCCTGGCCCTCACAAAAAGATTTTAAAAACCATACTCTTGTAGCATGAATTCTAATTGTTCTTAATAAAAACCCGGAGTCAGATATTAGGGGGTGAAAGCTGAGAGACCAGAGAAGCAGTGCAGCCAGCCACTAGAGAGACCTTTTTACCTCTAATGAGTTCTCAGACCAAAAGGGCAGTCCTGTCCTCAGACTGCGTTCTCTGACTGACGGCTTCAGACTGCATCTCCAGACTGCATCCGTCTCTACCAAACCTCAGACTGCATCTGAGCTCCTGTCTCCTCCTGCCTTATATTCCTCTCTCCACCCAGTTATATCTCTTCCGGTCTTTACCCCCCTAGTGCTGGGATTAAAGGTGTGTGCCACCACTGCCTGGGTTTTAATGGTTTAGCTCTGCACTCTGATCTTCAGACAAACATAAAACACAATATCGCTACACCCTCTGTATCTCCTCCTGTTGTAGAGTTGGGAACATCTCTCTAGTGGAATAGTTAATTCATTAGCCTTCCTCGGGGTGATGAGCAAGTGAAAAGCCCAGAGGTTGAAGCCTCTGCCTTTTAGAGGAGTCACTAAGTGTTT